AAACCTGAATTTTTAAAATGTAAAAGAAAACACATGGTTTGATGTAATTTCCTCATACAAAATCAATCAAGTTGCAACTTCCAATTAAGGTAGAACTCCTAGGGATTTCAATAGTATAATCTTATTAGGAATGCACTATCTACTTCTATAAATAGATCGTTCCAGTACATTATCAAGGTACGTCTTACATAATTTTCAACACATATTTAAATTCTCTCTTTGACTTAAGTATCAGAGGGACGACGAGAACACACATCGACGCCTTTGTTTCAGGTACCGAAAGATCTCATTCGTGCTTATTCTCAATCGTCAAATTCGAAAATCAACAAGTATGATTTTTGGTAGCATAACTCCTTATTTAATATTCCTTGTTATCAACAAATAAGAAATATTCTTATTTAAACTATTATTTAATGTAAGTGTCTATATGAAAAAAAATTATATTTCTAATTATATTAATTATATTTTTTAATCGTATGAAAATGAAAATAAATCCACTTTTGTATTTTACTCATCCAATCAATTCATACTTATATGTGGTATGTTACATAACAGAAAGAGTATTGAATTTATAAAGATACACGTTTTAATTTGTCATAATCCTTGTACAATTTTATATTGTCTATATGAACAGATAAGCCTCGATAAATGCCAAAGTAAATTCCAAAACTCCTCACCACCTCCACCTTCTTCCTCCCTCCACCGCCACTGCAACCGCCGCCTGCACTACCTTCACCGTTACCAAAACAACGACTACTAATGGCTTCCTCTCAACTCTACAATTCTTTGCTTTCCTCCTCTCTCCTCATGAAATCCCATTCAACATCCGCCGTGCACCACCACATACCAAAACTCGTCATAAAATGCAACGCCACGCCTTCCACTGTCAACACCATATCTCCTCCTCCGTCAACCACTAAATTCTCCGCCAAGTACGTCCCCTTCAATTCCATCTCCACCAACACCCCCACCACTGAGTTCTACTCCCTCAACGAAATTGTGTACCGCAGCCATGCCGGAGGACTCTTGGACATACAGCATGACATGGAAGCCTTGAAACAGTTGGACGGAGAATACTGGAAGACCCTTTTTGACTCCAGAATTGGCACCACAAAATGGCCTTATGGCTCCGGCGTATGGTCCAAGAAAGAATGGGTTTTGCCAGAAATTGATAACGATGATATCGTGAGTGCATTTGAAGGTAATTCAAATCTTTTCTGGGCCGAAAGGTTTGGGAAAAAATTTCTTCAAATGAATGATTTGTGGGTTAAACACTGCGGCATTAGCCATACTGGTAGTTTCAAGGACTTGGGCATGACAGTTTTGGTTAGCCAAGTTAACAGGTTGCGGAAGATGAATGTTCCATTAGTTGGTGTAGGCTGTGCCTCCACGGGTGACACTTCGGCCGCTCTTTCGGCCTATTGCGCAGCGGCGAATATCCCGTCCATAGTTTTTCTTCCGGCGAACAAAATTTCCATGGCTCAACTGGTGCAGCCTATCGCAAATGGTGCATTTGTACTTAGCATTGACACAGATTTTGATGGATGTATGAAATTAATACGTGAAGTTACAGCTGAATTGCCTATATACTTGGCTAATTCATTGAACAGTTTGAGACTTGAGGGACAAAAAACTGCTGCAATTGAGATTTTGCAACAATTTGATTGGAAAGTACCAGATTGGGTTATAGTTCCAGGAGGAAATCTGGGCAATATTTATGCATTTTACAAAGGATTCAGAATGTGCCAAGAATTGGCTTTAGTCGATAGGATTCCTAGGCTTGTTTGTGCTCAAGCAGCGAATGCGAATCCACTGTATTTATATTACAAATCAGGGTGGAAGGAGTTTACGCCATTAAAGGCTAGTACAACATTTGCTTCTGCTATACAGATTGGTGATCCTGTTTCGATCGATAGGGCTGTTTATGCTCTCAAGAATTCGAACGGGATTGTGGGAGAGGCGACCGAGGAGGAATTGATGGATGCTATGGCATTGGCGGATTCGACCGGGATGTTTATATGCCCGCATACAGGGGTTGCATTGACAGCGTTGATTAAGCTTCGGAATAGTGGGATCATTGGTCCGACTGATAAGACCGTAGTCGTTAGTACAGCTCATGGATTGAAGTTCACGCAGTCGAAGATTGATTATCATTCTAGGGAGATTAAAGATATAACTTGCAAGTACGCGAATCCACCGGTTCAAGTGAAGGCAGAGTTTGGATCTGTCATGGATGTGCTTAAGAAGTATTTGAGCAATACAAGACTCCATTGATACCCTTTGAGTACTGAAACTGTTACTATATTCAGTTTCCTACATTATGCTTTCAAATTTGTGTTATGTGAGATTGAATATTTGGGTGATAAGATTCCACCACTAGTACATATTCTAAGGACAGATGATAATGTGCATAAGTTTTGAAGATTTGAAACTCTTAAAAATAATCAGATATTTTGCCAGGATTTTGCCATTTTTACATTACTTTTTGCTACCCATGTTGACAGAAAGTGTATTAATACTACTGGATGGAAAAACAGTTTCTAAAAAACTGTCCATTCCATTCTATCAAGGAAGATGCATACAAAGCATGGTTGTATTTGTCAACTGTCCATTCCATTATGTCAAGAAAGATGTACACCAAGCATGGTTGTATTTGCTATTTCGGCAATTTGTAACTATTTCGGCTGCTAATCTCGAAGTATCTAATCTTCCAAGTAATATTTGCGACTATTCACGAAATTTCTTGTGTCCCAATCTACTTGCCCGCATAGATTAGTACTTAAGCTAGTGAAGCTTTCAGCTACTAGACTTTCTTCATTAGGGTGCCATTGACGCTTGTTATGCCACAACTTTATTTTCACAGTTTAAGCTGCTTTCATTTCACTCTCTGTTACTGTGGAATCACTTCTACTTTATTTTTCTTATATATTTCAGTTTGTGTCTCTTGCCTACCCATGAATTTATCAATAGTTCAAAAGGTTGATCGATTCGAAAATCTCCCTAAATATGAGGTGGTCTGACTGTATCATGTGGCAAATTCTCCTTTGAACCACTAGAGTAATGTGAGCATCTATCTATAAATCTTTATCATAGAAATTCGCGAATCCATTAGTTGCCTACCCCATTGTGTCTAATTCCAGCTTCACGGAATCCCACCTAATCATGTCAATTTAAAATGTCAGATGTGCTCAAGAAAATGCTAATCCTTCAGAGGAAGGGTGGTTGAGGATAGATGCTATGTGTACAATTTTTTTTACAATCTCACATTTGGTAGGTATCGTATTCATCCATTTTAAAAATTATTTTCTAAATCAACGATATGAATCTTTACAACTCATTAGTTGTACTGCAAATAGGTTAAGTCGAAACATCATTGTCATATCGTGGATGTATCACCGTACCTCGAACCACCCACCTAAAACCCACCACGATCACATGAACACAAGTGGGACATCTTAGAAACAAGAAGCATATTCCAATAGTATTCACCATTAAAAACGTGCAAGAAAATAGATTTCATATAATCTACATTGAAGCAGAAAGTGTAAGAAATTGCACAACATATAAGCCAAACACGTCCTTGAAATCAACCTGCGACTTGTTAGACATATTATTAACATCCAAACTAAAAATTAACAAGTATATGTTGCAAGAGTGAGATTGTATATAAAATTCAAACTACAAATTTCAATGTTAACTTACAAATGGTAGCATGTAAAGACAACAGTTACGAACAACAATTTTGCTACCCACCAATGTACATAACCAATAAACTGTTCTCCAGACCCTTGGTGAAAGAACAAGATTCAACTTTCAAGAATATGTATAGAACAACAAGCTCTTGTCATCAGACACGCTAGCAAGCAGACAAGACCTAACGTCTGTCTTTAATGGAGGTCCAAATGCCACTGACCAGACCTGGTCTGTGTGGCTGGTCATTATCTGGGTAGCCGCCCTCATTTTAAGATCCCACAACCTAACAGTCCGGTCACTCGAGCCTGTTGCAATAGCCATTCCATCTGGGGACACATCCACACTCAAAACCCAGCTAGTGTGGCCTGACAAAGATGAAATCATGGTTTTACCTTCCGTATCATAGACATGGATATGGCCATCGTCTGAGGCAGAAAAGAGAACCCTTGCATCAAGAGGTGCTGATGAATACACAAGAGATCGAACAGGCATACTATGGCCTTCCAAGTGGTGTAGAAATTTTCCGCGCATCACATCAAAAATAGAGATGGTTCCATCCATTGAACCACAAGCAATTTGTGTACCATCAGGGCTCCATGCAACTGAGAGAACAAACTTCTTGCTGCCAGTTTTCTCGGAGGGTTTCAAGCCTTCTAGTCGGGGAACTGATAGTGTTGCAGTCAATTGCCATTGAGCAGTATCCCACAGCTTCACTGATGCACTACCACCTCCAGCTGCTGCCAGTGCAGTCCCCTTGAAAAGATAAAAATGAAGTTGATGGCGAGTCAATTATCTTGAAGACACTAAACATCCAACAAGGAATAGTCTGTTGAATTTAGAAATATGGCGAGTAGACAACGACAGAGAGATTCAAAACTCATTTATCTTCCTTACATATTAAATTATGGCCATTTATGAGACAACTGTTATGCCAATTAAAATTATCTCAAACTCTGTAAATTTAGTTTCGTTAAATTTCCAATAAAAAACTTAGAAACCCATGCAGACATGCTAAAAAAACATCACTGAATATTTTTCATATGAGCACCATTAAAATAGATAGAAATTAACATTACAAAGAAAAATAATTCAGAACACCAACTGAAGTTTCATGAGTCAAATAAACAACACAGGTTTCCAAATAGACCAATGCCTGGAAGGCATTGCAAAATGTGTCACGTCCACCAGAACGTACCTGTGTACCCAAAATGCACAAGCGCCAGCACCAGGAAGTCCCTGAACTTCCAACTCTTGTATGTCCATACATTTAGAAAAGATATTGGACCCATGTAATAGCTCAAGACAATTGATTTTTTTTTTTTCAAAATTTCAATGTTTTATTAGGTAAATTCCATGCAGTGGGAGCTATCTTCATAACATTTTTGGTAAATCATCAACTGGTTACTTTAATCCATCAAATATCTTTTCAACTCTCGTAATCCTCTTCATTAGCTTCCATCTTCACATCACATGCTCCGTTTGCAACACGTTAATGGGTCTTACAGCTCTAACGAAAAAAATGTTCCAAATTGATGCAACTTTATGATAATAATCTTATGTTCCTGTGAACTTTATTATAAATACTGAATAATGAAACTAAATTCAACAAAAGGAAAGAGATCTGAAATTGGCCTTCCGTTGAATACAGGTTGAAGATTTTAAGCAAACAACAGACTGAAATCCAGAAAATCTGCTCGAGTTCTTTGAGCTGAGGAGTTCTGATTTTAAACTGAACAGCCTCCCTAGTGCATCACAATACTCAAGCTCACTCAAAATTAGAGGCCAAGTAAGCTTGGAAACCATAACAATTTTGCAAGCTAATAGGCAATATCCTAAAATTATAGCTAAGTTTTTTTTAGCAAACTCAGCATCTTACAATCCAAGTTGAATACCATGAGCTAAGCCCCAATTTTCCCTGTGACAATTTGAAAAGACTTAAGAATGACAGGGAAACTGATAATTTCTCTAGTTCTAGTGTTCAATGAGAAATTGCCTTTACACCCTGCACCTATGGAACCCTCACAAACACATTCATTATTGCACCATTACTACGATTCAAGTCCTCCGTTAACTGGGCGTTTGAAATTGATTTGGTAGTAACAAAGTCCATTAGAGGAAGACATCCAGCCAGAAAGATATGTGAGTTGATAAACGAATTCTCACTTGTTTACCTATGTGCCAGTTCAATTTCTGCAACTTCAACCCTTGTCTAAAATCTTCCCATTTTTTACAGCTTAACCTGATTGCTGATGCAATTGTTTCTTGTCCTGCAGTTCTCATGTTTTGGCATACAAATCACTTGCTTTAACTCAATTAACAAGTGAGAAACAACACCAACACCTCATTCCAAACTCTAATGTTAAAGGCACAACTAATATAATTAAATTACTCCACCAAATAAAAACCAAATCAATTTCATTTCACTTACGAAACCAAAAAATAAAAAATAAATACTTTTACTTCAAGAGAGCCAACAATTAACAGGGAACAACAATTTTTTTGCTCGTTCCACATGCATGCCAGACACATAATCCCATAAACAGATTCTCCATAAATGATAAATTCATTTCCGAAATCCTTCTTACCACAAGCACATAGCACTTGCAAACATAAATTTAGGCAAAAAATTGAATAGCACTTTCCCATTCCAAAACAAACTTATTCACTTAATGTCCGTAATTTGCTAGACTTGACTTCTTTTCTCATGAATTATGAATTACAATCCTTATTGCATCTCATCATAGCAACATGTATCTTTTTTTTTTTTCACCATTTTTTGTCCATTTGCACACTGCATAATAATGGCATATGCAAAGTTGTGTACTTATACCTGGGGATTGAACTGCAGTTGCCAGACTTCAGAGGGGGGAGCCTCGAGGGTTGCAATAGTATTATTTGTGGCAACATCAAAAACCCTAATAAAGCTGTCGATCGAGGCAGAGGCGGCGATTCTGCCAGAGGGGTGGGAGGCCACGGAGACCACACCTAGGCAGTGACCGGTGTTAGTCTGGAGCTTCTGGGGACCCTCAGGGTCCCACAGGCGGACAGTCTCGTCAAGGGACCCAGTCAGGAGAAGCGGCGGTGAGACATCGGTGGCTGGAACCCACGCCGCCGTCCACACCGAATCGTCGTGGGCGTTCCCAACGGTGTTAATAGGAGCAAGTTTCATGGTTTTGAGCGGACTGGAAAAAGTAAATCCCTAGCTTCAGGTTTGTAGAGTGAAGATTTGGAGTGGAATAATTGTTGGGTAATTAGCACAAATCATCCCAATCGTTTAGGGTCATTGTGGAAATTATCCATATCGTTTGAATTTTGGCATTTATAACCCTATTTCTACCTTCTTTCGTAGAGTTAATCATTTTCATTTTCAACGTTTGTCCAACCATTAAATATGTAAGTAGACTTGCTTAGTATAAGGGTCATTTTGTACTATTTTAAAAAAAGCTAATGTGGCACTGAAAGATTATGAATTTTACCACCCACCCACCCCTTCCCATTTTTCCTTATTTATAGTCTCAAATTTCAAAATTATTACGTGAATGTTAAATGAAGTCAAAATACTGCATCCTTAACACCATTTTGAAATACTCACGACTTAGTTTATCGCATTCTTAACCGCGTGCAAACCGGCCAACCGTAGCAAAAGTTACCACGCGTCGAAATAGACCGTTCCAAAATATATAAATATTTTTTTTTTATTTGTATNATTCATTTATCATTTTTATCACTGTATGTCAAACGAATTCTAAATCTCTTATTCTTAACATCATTTCGAAGTACTCAATACCTAGTTTATCGCATTCTTAACCGCGTGCGAAATGACTAATCGTAGCAAAAGTTACCATTCGTCGAAATAGGCCGTTCCAAAATATATAAATGTTTTTTTCTTATTTTTATCTCAATTTTCAAGGTTATTACGGGATGTCAAGCGAAATCGAAATCTCGTATTCTTAACACCATTTCGAAGTACTAACAGTTTAGTTTAATGCATTCCTAATCGCGTGCAAAATGGCCAACCGTAGCAAAAGTTACCACTCGTCAAAATAAGCCGTTCCAAAATATATAAATGTTTTTTTCTTATTTTTATCTCAATTTTCCGAGTTATCACGGGATGTCAAACAAAATCGAAATCAAAATCTCGTGGTCTTAATACCATTTTAAAGTATTCACGGCCTAGTTTTCACTATCCTTAACGACATGCGAAATGGTCAACCGTAGCAAAAGTTACATTTCGTCAAACTAGACATTTTCAACTGTAACAAATATTGCATTTTTGTATTCCTATTTGGACGAGTGATAACTTTTGCAACGGTTGGCCGTTTCGTACGCAGTTATGAATTTAATGAACTAGGCTGTGAGTACTTTTAATGGTATTAAGAATACGAGATTTCGATTTCGGTTGACATTCCGTAATAATCCCGAAAATTAAGATAAAAATAAGAAAAAAACATTTATATATTTGGAACGGCCTATTTCGACGAGTACTAACTTTTGTTACGGTTGGCCGTTTCACACGCGGTTGGAAATGCATTAACCTAGGCTGTTAGTACTTCGAAATGGTGTTAAGAATAAGAGATTTCGATTTCATTTGACATCTGCGATAACCCCAAAAATTGAGATAAAAATAAGAAAAAAATATTTATATATTTTGGAACGGCCTATTTCAACGATTGATAACTTTTGCTATGATTGGTCGTTTTGCACGTGGTTAGGAATGCATTAAATTAGACTGTTAGTACTTCGAAATTGTGTTAAGAATATGTTGCGTTTTTTTTTTATATCGCAAGTATACGATATCGTAACAAGTAATATAGTGGACATTTGAGTCCGAATTAACGTTCCCACGAGAACTATACTTTAGACCTTAATTAATTATTTCTAACTCGTATTTGATGCAAATAAACAAAAATATGGATTTATTGAGACTATTTAATTTAAACACATAAAATTAAATTGAATAGAAAATAAACACAGTTTATTGAGAATTCAAATAATAATGGTTCTTAGGGCGGAAAAACTTCACTTATTGATCACCCTTATTCCTTAAACCAAGATTCATAACCTAATGTAGTGTTCGGCCGAATTCTTCTATTGTATTCAATTTACTCCTCTCGAGTTCTCATTGAGCCTATTTAACTAATTCAATTCAATATCTCTATGCGAATTAACGTTAGTCAAACGAAACATTGGTTCT